TTCAGCATTTAGTCATGCCAGCCACATGACCACGGGGACGTCTTCAGACAGCGCTGGCTCTTCAGCTTAGAAACGGGGAGATGCGCACCACCCCCTAGAGTCGGGAACAACTAGCACATATGTGCCAGGGGAACCTTTACCTTATGCAAGAATATTATAATATTGGCAATTTTATCATCTGGAGGCTAGCCACATCTGAAACATTTTTTTTAACGGCAGCCCTTTCGTGTTACTAATATAAAAACCATGGGTTAACACTCTCTGAGATGAAGGTGAAATTCACTATATACCTCCTTAGCAATTAGGTTTCACCAATGAATGTGTGAACCAAGCAAAAAATCCCTTGTCTTGCATGAAAATACAGGAGGGGGGGAAGAGGGGAGAGAGAGAGAGAGAGAGCCTCTAGCAATCCTTTCTCCAATTAGCGTACTTCTGCATTAAAAGCAGAGGCAGGGGGTGAATTCTTGCTCCTCTCTTTAAATTATAGAGAAATAAATCTAAAAAAAATCTCTTTCATGTGATTCTAAATATATCCTCACTTTCCTTTAAACTGGAATTAAAAGAAAATTGGCTGCATCTTTCTTTTCTTGCCTCTGTCTAATAAATACTTGGGTTCTACTGGATGGAGAAGCAGAAACATAAAAACAGCCACCTTATCTCACGTATTTTCCTCTCCTTTCTTTCTCATCCTTATTCTCTCACACAACTATACCAGTAGAAACATTCTACACTGCAGGCGACACTACAAAGCCATGGAAAACGAAGGCTACAGATCCTTTTAATCCGTATGTATCCATTTGAATACGATTCTCTTGTTCTATGTTATATATTTCATTTATACATATCCTGATATCCTCCACACTCTGCATGGGGAGAGGGGGAATTGTACATTTTACTATGCAGGCCACTATCGCCGTCATCGCGGTGCTGTCGGCTTCACTTTGCTCTAAAAATTCTCTGTCCATTTTACAGGGCTGCCTCCTTCTCTCCTTTTGCTTTCTGGTTGGCACCGAAATAAATTCTCAAAACGTGATCAGGGATGTCACTTTATAGAGCGATCAGTGGCCAGGGATATGGGTAGGAAGGAAGTTGCTGTTCAATAAAGGAAGGTCAAGATGCCATGGGCGTACTCACACACTTATCCAGGGTTAAGTTCTCCTCGAAGGCATCTTTTATCATTTTTAATGATTAAGGGGATATCCTGCTGAGTGGCCTTAGTGCTTTGCTGCTTGGGCCGTAATCAAGGTCTGAGTCCTGGGCACAAATTGAAGCTTGATGGGAAAAGATGCTCTCTATGCAGAACTCCTGAAATATATCCTGAATGTGCATTTAAAAATGGCGATGGCAGTTCACAGAAATCTTGGCTCTTTATTTAGCTCCGTCTTATTAAATACACTTCCGAGTCTTGCAGAGTCTGCATGTTGTGTTCATGTGACTCTTTTCACCTGTAGTGGACTTAACAGAATAACCAAATAACAACATTGGAAAGGACGTTGGAGGTCTTCTAGCCCAACCCCCTGCTCAAGCACTAGACCGTGATGGCGAGCCTATGGCACGCGTGCCCGAAGTGGCACGCGGAGCCATGTCACCTGGCACGTGAGGCATTGCCTGTTCCTCTTCCGGGTTTCTGCCACACATGTGTGCATGACGACGAGCTAGCCTTTGTGCGTGCAGCAGTGCTGGAAACGGGAAGAGCTGGTGTTCCGTTTTCCGGCGTGAGCATGCATGCTGGCCACTTGATCATCACGCACACATGCGCACCAGTACCCAGAGGATTAGTTGGCCGGCGTGCATGCACATGCTGGAANTCTATCTATCTATCTCTATCTCTCTCTATCTCTTTCCTATACTTTCCTATCTTGTCTCTTTCTTTCTTTCTCTCTCTCTCTCTCTCTCTCTCTCTCTCACTCTCTCTCTCTCTCTTTCTCTCTTTCTTTCTTTCTTTCTTTCTTTCTTTCTTTCCTACCCATCTTTCTTGTCTTTTTGTCTCCTTCCTCCCTTCTGTCTCTCTCTCTCTGCCTCTACTTTGCTCTTTGGGGGTTAATGTCCTGAGACTTTCTGTCCCTTCCTTCGAAGGTGGAGCAGAAGTCCTCGGCCCAGCTGCTCATGACTTGGGGCCTGGAAGACGTTGACCATGTTTTCACCGAGGAAGACTACCATACCTTGACAAACTACAAAGCCTTCAGCCAGTTTATGAGGTGGGTTCTTGCATATCAGCCGGTGGGCGAGGTGGTGGTGGTGCGAGGGAAACGCCACCCAGCAGGTTTTCAGGTTGATGGTTGAAATTTCTCACGGCCAAGTGATTACCATTTCCACTTTGCCCAGCCGGCTTCCGACAAGCAAAGTCAGTGGGGGGGAGGCGGACTCGCTTAATGACCGAAGGATTCATTTAACAACTGCAGTGGTTTGCTTAACTGTGGCAAAAAGAGGTCAGGAAATGGGGGTAAACTCACTTAACAACTGCCTGGCCTCCATTGTGGCCGTAAGTGGAGGGCTACCTGTACCTATCATCTACCTATCATTATCTGTCTATCATCTACCTATCACCTATCATCATCTTTGTATCTCTCTCTCTCTCTCTCTCTCTCTTTGTCCATCCATCCATTATCTATCATCTATCTATCATTGTCCACCTATCATCTATCATTGTGTCTGTTCATCCATCCATCTGTCCATTATCATCTATTTAACATTATCTATCATCTACCTGTCATTTATCATTATCTTTCTGTGTCCGTCCGTCCATCCATCCATCCATCTATCTATCCACTCTCTGTCCGTCTGCCTGCCTGCCTGCCTGCCTGCCTACCTACCTACCTACCTACCTACCTACCTAC